TGTACAGTGTGCTGTTTTTACTGGAAGGAAAAAAATGGCTCATCCCCACTGACAGGACAGAGCTCTGTGTATTAACATTCAATAGAGCTCTGTCCTGTCCTCTCTTTTGCCAATCAGCAGGTCCTGGGCAGGACTCACTGGTTGGCTTGTGCTGTGTATAATTACACCATGTACCAGATACATGGTCCGGAGCAGGACAGCAAACTTGCCACCATACTCCTGTGAGATGGTCAGCAAGTGGTTAATAGTATGAGTTAAACTCAATGGAAGAATTAAAAATTCCTGAAGATCCCCAGTGTATGTGATATAATAAGGAATAAAGAAAAATGTATATATTGCAGACCATCAGTTCTTAGATGTGGTGGTTGCACTAGTTTTTTTTTTCCCCTTTATTTTCACTTGTGAATCCTGACAGTAAATCTGTTAATCTTCAACTTCCTTTAACAGACCAAGCTACTCAGCAAAAAGGACAAATAGAGGGTTGAGACAAACCATTTACCAGTGACATGGATGCTTACATTAGTAAACTTTTATTATTTTAGTTAGTTAAACATTTATCCCACAAAGAAAAAAAAATATTTCAAGTGCCACAATCATTACTATCACATGGGAGGAACTGAAGTGGCTCAGGTTTTAGGGCCAGGGTAAATGTTAGAGATTGGTGGCATGAATGGTAGCAGTATAATTCACATTTGTTTGCAGTGCCAAATGTCTTGTACCAAAAGTGCTATGTCAGGCTAGTGACCCAAAAACGATATATCTAATTTACAGTAATCAGTATTACCTTAAAGTGTTACTAAACCCACAACAGTAAAATCAGTCTGTATATGCAGTAAAGCATGCTTGGTATACTTGCTGTGGAACCTAAGGGGTTAATCCTCTGCATTGTATAAAAAGGCTGTTTGACCCTTTTGTTCTCTGCCCTTCTTCCTTTTGAACTGTCCACCTGATACAGACTGAATCCATAGTCACATGCACATGCTCAGTTTGCTGTGTATTGCTAGAGAGGGTTTTTTTTCTTGGGAGGGTGCATGTGATCCGCACAGGGCCAATCAGCACTGTCCAGACAGAGGTTCTGCAACCTTCTAAAGCAGTAAGAAAACTCCTCTTACAAGCTTTAACCAGTGCTCTGCTGAAGTCACAAGACTGCGCTAACTGCTGATGAGAAAAGGTATTTAGCAGTCTATATTTACTAAAATAATTGCATTTCCATGTTCTGTGTACTGTGGGAGAAAATATATAGTGACTGCAGGGTCCTGGGTTTAGTAACACTTTAAAATAGCAGGTGTTTGCATTTAACGGCTTTCTTGAGTCAAGCACAAAGGGTTTTTCTTCTCTATGTAAGGGCTTGAAAGCAGAAACACACAGAACTGCTGCACATATAGACCTTGATATAAATGACTTTCTAGTAAAACTAAATCATTAGATAATTAAATGAAGAGTATCCTTACTTATTGGATATTTAAGGATAAGTTGAATTGTTATACAATTTACGCTAATCTTGTAGAAGTATTTTTTACATATTAACACACTTTTGAATTTTGGCTATACAGAGATAAACTGTATACACCGTAAAGCACAGTGGATATAATTTACAACTCTTTATGGCTAGTCAACAACAACTATATCTAATTTTTCCAGTACAGGTAAATTAATTAACATTTGAAGAATTGCTGTACAATAGCATTCCATTTACCTTTCCTAGCCTTTATAAATTAGTACCTATATTTTCTGTGAGCATGTACCTTCTCTTTCCTTTTTACATTAATGGCACTTTTTTAACTCCATTCAGTGGCCCCTTGCCATACTACATCAAAGCATTTCTGGAACTGAACAATCCATTTATATAACTATTAATGAGTAGAACTTCCATCTGGTACTTTGGTCTCCAGAGACAATCTTTTGTTTCTAACTGGAAAGTTACAGGATCATGGCTCTAAAAACGAATTTACCACATTGCCTCCAAATAACATCTACTTGGGTTTAGCAGTTTGAGGGTGGAAAGATAGTATCACTGCTTAAAAAATACACTTTTGATAATTAATATAATTTAAATAAGTGAAAAACACAGAATGCTACGCATATGTGATTGTTGGTGTGTTCTAGCAATTTAGTGTCAGAAATATTGCAAAATATTACCAGGCCAGGGGTGGACTGACAACTCCTGCGGCCCCCGGACAGTAAGGGATCATGGGGCCCCTGTGTTCTCGCCCACACTCAAACCACACCCAAAAAAGCCTATGAAAGGTACCAGGGGCATCTCATGGGGCCCCCTACTGACCCCGGGCCCTTGGGCAGTGCCCGAGTTTCCAAATGGTCAGTCCGCCCCTGTACCAGGCCATAACAGTAGTAGGACTTTGTTTTACTAAAGGAGTTGACAATTGTGTGAATATTCACTACATTTACTAAAATAAAAGTATTGTTCACTTTGAGTACTCAATCATGTGCAGATGCTTTTCACATGATTGTTCAAGATTAGATGTGAGTACCTTATATATCTACAAATCTGACAAATAAATATATATTCTTGCTTTTGGCTTGATTTCTCCTCTTTGTTAAAATACATTCACATTAGAGCCTTTCATTTAGCACCTGCTACTATTTCTGCCTTTATAAATCTGTAAGTAATAGGAAGTGGTAGATAATTGAGAATACTGCAATTTTCCTGCCAAAAAATGTAGCATTCCTAAAAGATGCATGCAGAAAAGGAGAAAAGTATAACATGTTGCACTGTCTTAATTCAGCTACATACACTTGCACCACATGGGACCAGTGGCTGTGTCCGTGCAGGCACTATGTCCCAATAGACATGAATGGGACTACCTGCAAACAGATACATGAAACACCTGGGCATTCTGTGTAGGCAAAGATGGCCCTTTGCATGGATGCATCCTTAAGTACGCCTATGTGCCCATATGAATGAGGTCCATGCTAGTTTCTATCTTCTATCACTATTATTTGGAAATTAATTAGGCAAAAATGGGAGAGAAACAATTACACCCATATGCAGAGGAGATCCTAATTAAATTGTAATTCAGAAAACAACAAATGCCCCATTAGCAAAACACTATTTTTCAATACTCTAATCACATTTACTATGTTATTTTTATGTTATCTACTGCTTCTATGTTCACTTCATACATGACATAAAAATCACAGGTGTAAAAGTATGATATGTTCCTGTCAGTGATGCTTTCAAACCAAACAGCAAAAATTCAAGCAATGATGTTGCTTCTAATAAATAATCTGTTCTTAAATAAGTAAAACAGAACGTAATTTTCTCCCAGGACCATTACAGGGAATGATTATTCTGCTGAAAATTAAAAATATTACCTTAATAACCAAATCAAATTTCTGGTGCAAATCTCGATTTACTGGCTTCAGAAGTGTGAGCACAGCGGTGGTACGATTCATATGGAAATATTCAGTATAATCCTCGGGAGTGCCTGGGAGAGAAGAAAGCGTTTTGAACATCTAATTGACGTAGAACAAAAATAATGATTGTTTATAGCCTAGCACCTTATGTATGTGTAATGCTGCTTTCATTTGATTTTAAATGAGCCACTAAATGCATTCATATCAACACACTGTTCATAAAAAATGCAAGATAGCTTAAAAGAAGCAGAACTTAATATGATCAGAGATCAACTCCATTGCATATGATACCAACAATTTAATATAATCTCTGCATTTAATAACCCATCAAATATTTTGTTACGTAATAGACAGGGTCTTAAGCAGTGAATGACATTTTTTTCTGGGGATTAACTATGAAATATTTAAGCAAAAACACTAAAGACTGAGAAATATGAAAGAATAAGCTAAATAATGTAGGAGGCTTACCAATTAGCTTGGTAGGTGTTAAAATCACTAAGTTTATAGGAAGAAAGTGTTTCCATTCTGAGTATAGTAACAGAGAATGCAAATAAAATAATTAAACAGTTTAGAAAATAAAGTTTGAACGTTTGAGAAATGGTTCAAAGAACTTATGTACATTATTCAGCAGGACTTCATTCAACACTCTTTTCTCTTTCTTCCCCAACATTACTCCTAAATTTTAGGAATGCAGTTATGCCTTTTAGTATTTGCAACCTCTGTTATCAACCAACAATATGTCAGGTAAAGGATACACAAAAGTAAGGTCAGAATTAGCATTGTGATCATTCATCAATGTAAATGAAGCTCTCCATAAACAGTTCAATGTTTTTTAGCAATGCGGCAAATATGAAAGCAACCTTAAACTCAATCTTTCCTAAACCGAACTTGTAATATTTCCTCCTCCCCAACTCATGACTTTACCATTAAGATCAACAGCACAACCATTAGTCCTTCCCCTCATGCCAGAGTGCTAGGTGTAATCCTAGACTCTGACCTCTCCTTTGGGCCCTACATCCAATCACTGGCTAAATACTGCTGCCTCAACCTCTGACACATTTCCAAAATCCACCCCTCCATTAAACATTATATGGGACATGCTGCTTCCCTGGTTCAAACATGGCAATAGTGTTGAAGAAGCCCCCCTTCTCCCACTTTCTATATATCCTTTCTCACTTAACACATACTGCCTCTTGTCACCTAAACCCATCTTTTTCCTATCCTTCCCTCTTCTCATCCACATTTTTCCTGCCCTACATCTCCCTACCATAATCTTATTTTATATATATATACTGTATTATATGCATGACCACTGCATATACAAAGGGAAAAAAAAGAAAGAAAAAAGAAAAGAAAAGAAAGGAAGAAGAAAAGAAAGAAGAAAAGAAAAGAAAGGAAAAAGAAAAGAATAAGAAAAGAAAAGAAGGGAGGAAGGAAAAGAAAAGAAAGAAAAGAAAGAAAAGAAAATAAATATTTGGATGGAGATCTTCTTTAGTTTCCAGTCAATTTCTTCTTTAATATCATACATTTACCGTATTTTTCGCTCCATGAGACGCACCTGACCATAAGACACACCTAGGTTTTAGAGGCAGAAAACAGGAAAAAAAAAAATTCTGAACTAATGGACTGCAAACATAGTACAGGAGATGACCAGAGACTGTGGACAGCACAGGGATGACCAGAGACTGCGGACAGTACAGGGATGACCAGAGACTGCGGACAGCACAGGGATGACCAGAGACTGCGGACAGCACAGGGATGACCAGGAACTGCGGACACAATACAGGGGATGACCAGAGACTGCGGACAGCACAGGGATGACCAGAGACTGCGGACAGCACAGGGATGACCAGAGACTGCGGACAGCACAGGGATGACCAGAGACTGCGGACAGCACAGGGATGACCAGAGACTGCGGACAGTACAGGAGATGACCAGAGACTGCGGACAGTACAGGAGATGACCAGAGACTGCGGACAGTACAGTAGATGACCAGAGACTGTGGACAGTACAGGGATGACCAGAGACTGCGGACAGTACAGGAGATGACTGCTGAGGGGAGGGGGGGGGGAGTGGGTACCTGAATTTGAGGAACAGGGATGACCAGAGACTGCGGACAGTACAGGAGATGACCAGAGACTGCGGACAGTACAGTAGATGACCAGAGACTGTGGACAGTACAGGGATGACCAGAGACTGCGGACAGTACAGGAGATGACTGCTGACCTTTGGGGAGGGGGGGGGGGAGTGGGTACCTGAATTTGACAGGTACCCGTTCTTACTTCTGCGGAGTTGTTCTTTGATCTTACCTGTTCCTCTATCCAGCCGCACGCTGTCTTCCTGGCTTCTGTAGTGTCGGCGCTCGGCATGAAAGCCGGGTGCCCAGTGGGCATGGGTGAGAAGCACTTGCGCTTTGTGATTGGTCCGGCGGCTTCTGGGATCTGTCATGTGTCCCAGGTACCGCCTTACCATTCACAAAAAGCACCGCTTCTTGCGCATGCGCACTTGGCACCTGGCTGTCAAGCCCAGCGTCCACACTACAGAAGCTGGGAAGACAGCGTGCCGCTGGATAGAGGAACAGGTAAGATCAAACAACAACTCCGCGGAAGTAAGAGCGGGTACCTGTCAAATTCAGGTACCCGCTCCCCCCCCTCCCCAAAGGTCAGCAGTCATCTCCATAAGGTCCCACTGCAGAGCTGAGCGGCCAGCCCGGTATTCTGACACGGCGGCAGTGGAAATACCGGACCGGCCGCTCCATATTCGCTCCATAAGACGCACTGACATTTTCCCCCCCTTTTTGGGGGGAAAAAAAGTGCGTCTTATGGAGCGAAAAATACGGTAAATTGTCATTCAAAAACATCATGGTTGTTAGAAATATGTTGCAATACAGGGAGAGTATCTATGTATCAAATATTTTGTACACAAATACTGAAAAGAACAAAAACACACTTTTTAAAAGTATTAAAAAATAATGCCAAATGCAGAGTCCTGTATGTTATCAAAGTATAACATATCATGTAATAAATCAGTCACAATCGTATAATGACTCAAATACAAGGGGTTAGTTAAGCATATGTTACTAAATATATGATTACTTGTCACAAAGTAAATGCACAAATGTAAACAAATCCACTCATATAAAGACAAAAATATGAACACAGCCATGAAAACTCTTACGTGGTAAACTCAGGAAAAGTTCCTTTATGGGTCTCATCTTAAATCTCAGACAGTCCAACTGTAACCATTACATGGTGTAAGGGTATACATGGTGTATCTGCTGATAATAATTTATCCAGGGGTAAAAAGAAAGCAAGAATCTGTGTATAACTCATAAGTCCACAATGGGCAGTACATATTTGTTATACCAACTGATGGCAATTCCTTCCTAGGGTGAGAAACCACGAACCTAATGTAAGTACAGTCCATAGGTTCACTCCATTTAAATTTAAAAAATTTATTTTATTATTTACTTTATCTAAATGTATTTGTTGATACTGTCTGGGGTCTCTACTCTGCCCTCCAAAGCAGCTGACCAAACTCACATTGGTTTGATGGACTGCTTTACTAGTTGGTAGCCATCAGTAAACATAGGGCCAAAACCAGAAGTGACAAAGGCCTTGTTGCTTTTAGTTCCATACACCAGATGATCAGAGAATGGAAAATCCTCCTTCATCTCTATGGTCAGCCTGCACGAGTACCCACAGCTGTCCCAGACTTATATACTATATATATATATATATATATATATATATATATACACATACAGTATATTGGTCAGGAAGTGGCTAAAGACAGCAACCTGATGCTTAAAATTATTTCTCCCATAGAGCTAACAAATTTGCACTGCAATTTTTTTTTTCGGCAGTGAATCACAGCAATTCATTTTTTCATTTTGAATGCTAAGGTTCAGAAACGGATTTCACAACTGTATGTTCCCATGCTTATTTGTACCATATAAACAATAGATTGGATAAACTTCTATCCTATTTACCCTACCAAGGTCATCCATAATTTACATCTGTAACTTAAATACATCTTGTGTTATTAACAGATTGTTTGAATGTTGAATAAGACATTATTCCCATCAATCACTGTCTTTTTTACTTTAATGATCAAAATGTTTATTAAATTATACTATACAGTTTTCTGAGAAAATAGATCAAATGCTCTGCAAGTGGGAAGAACAATTAAATTATAAAACATTCATTAAGTTATAAACCTTTGAACAGACTATTTTCTGTGATTAATGTACACAAAAAAGTGTCAGCTCGGCTATGTAATAGTACCTATCAAGAGTAACAAAAGAACATTTATACTGTAAATATATTCAGAGATAAAAATTTTGACCTATTAAAAATATCAGACTAAAACAAAAGTTTATATCTTGTCTTAACAATTTAAACAAATGATTTTTATTCTTTATACTTCTAGACATGTTTTTTTTCTATTTTTTTTGACAACACAAAGTAAATAAGGGTCAGGGGTGCAATATAGATAATGGTGTGTCACAGAACACTCTTCCAAGTTTAGCTGTTATGGGATCATAGAGATGCCACATTCTTCTATTTAGGTTGGAGTGGACTCATAGAAGAATGCACTCATTGACTGCAGCATCTCTTGATATAGCTACTGTTCATAAGTGTATGCATGCACAGTTTGTTAAATAACATTTTTATTAAATTGATTATCTGCCAAATATGGTATGCTTTGTAAAGGCCACTCAGGTCATAACACAGACACACAATTTGTGCAAATCTGCTGCTACCTTGCAGTACAATGGTCTCCTGGCGTGGAGCCCTGAGCCTTAGTTAGCTCACATACCAAAGAACCTCAGCACAGCTGATTAATAATGAGATCTGGCTGCCAGGTAGCCAGAGCTACACTGGAAATCAGGCCAGTGTGCACAAACAGTACTGAGATAATGTGACTGTGACAGGGATGCTGTGAGTACTGAGGTATTGTGACTGTGACTAGGATGCTGTGAGTACTGAGGTATTGTGACTATGGCTGGGGTGCTGTAAGTACTGAGGTATTGGGATTGGAGCACTGTGAGTACTAAGGACACAAAAGGGCTATGCAGTCAATGAGTAGGAGGAGAGGACACAGAGGGTCGAGCAATCAGTGAGCAACAGTATGCAGAGAGGAAGCCAAGGCCATGTGGCCATGTGATCAACAAGAGGGAGTAGGAGAAGAGCACACCAAAGGCTGTGCAACCAGGGAACAGGAGTAGAGTATGTCGGGGGCCTTGTGATCAGCTAGCAGGAGTAGGAGGAAAGAAAACCAGAAGCCATGTGATCAGTGAGTGGGAGAAGGGGAAGAGGACAGAAAGGACTGTGTGATCAGTGAGTGGGAGGAGAAAATGTGGGGGATGTGTGATCAGCAAATGAGAACAGGAGGATAAGCATGCCAGAGGTTAGATCAGTGAGTGGGAGTGGGAGGAGAGGACACCAGAGACTCTGTGATTAGTGAGGAGGAAGAGAGGACACTGGGGGCCATGTGATCAGTAAGCAGGAGGAGAGGGGCACTGAAGGCTGTGCACCTAGTGAGTAGAAGGAGAGGACACCAGGGGCCTTGTGAGCAAAAGCAAGAAGAGAGGATGCAGTGTGCTATGTGATCTGTGAGCAGAAGATCCCTAACAGGAAAAAAAAACTGTTGCTCAGAATAGAATAAGGTTAAGAAAAGAAAAATAAGAATGAATTATATGAATTATAAGTTCTTTTTCTGGATTATCCCCATTAGGTAAGTGGTTACCAACAGGAATGGTGATGCGACTCGGCGCACATCTTTCGCCATGTATAGGTTCTTTGAGCAACCGTTCAAAGGTGAATACCACTACACAAAATGTTTCCTTGGAAACAGATATTCTGAATCTAAGGAAGCAGCTAGAAACACTGTGAAGTATCATCAACCTGAAAAGGAGCTTGGGCCATACCCATCAGGTGCTGGCAGGAGCTAGTATAGAGTAGGGTGGAATTATGGAGGTGCAGACACTAGAGGAGGGTAGATGGGTGACAGATGGTGTATAAGGAAGAGAGTTAAGGAGGCCAGTCCTGAGCTGATACATACCAATAAATATGTTGCTTGATGTTGGGGAAGTCAGTGAAGGTGTAGCGTTACTGAAACAGAGTGACTCCGCTAACTGCTAGAGGAACAACTCCTCAAGTGAGAAGGAGGTGAGGTTACAGAAAAGGCTAAACAGATTCTGGTGGTAGGGGACTCAGTTATTGGAAGGACAGATAGGACGATGTGTCACAAAGACTGATCATCGAACAGTGTGTTCGGCGTTCAAGTTCAGCACATAGCAGACAGATTGTACGGATGGGGCTGGAGAGGACCCAGCTGTCATGCTATATATTGGCACCAATCACAAAATCAGGGAAAAATGGAGCATCCTAAAATTTATTTCAGGGGCTTAGGTGTTATATTAAAAAAAAGAAACCCTAAAGCAGTATTCTCATAAAAACTGCCTATACCACAAACTACACCAGAGAGGCAGCAGGACCTTAGGGAACCTAACAAATGGCTGAGGAACTGGTACAGGGTTTTGGGTTCATGAAGAACTGAGCTGAGTTTTTGGTCAGTTACTGGCTCTATAGCAGGGATGGACTGCTCCTAAATTGGGAGGGGGCAGTTCTGCTTGGTGAGAAAATAGCCAAAAGGTTGGAGGAACCTTTAACCTAGGTGGTGGGAGAAGGGATCAGAGAAAGCTATAGATGACAGTGAGCAATGGTCAGAGGGGATACTGTGGTCAGTATTGGTAGTGTAACTAGAGAACCTAGTTACACTACCCATTTCAGTCTTTGCACATGACACCAAGCTGTGCAGTGGAATGACGTCATCACAGGATGTCTTCAACTCACAAGCCAACCTCAATGCACTGTTTAATTGGGCAACTATGTGGCAAATGAGATTTAATGTTGATAAATGTAAGGTTATGCACCTGGGGGTTAAGAATATGCATGCATCATACATACTAGGGGGGTACAACTGGAGGAATCAATGGTGGAAAAGGATCTGGGGGTTCTGGTAGATCACAAGCTTAATAATGGCATGCAATGCCAAGCTGCGGCTTCTAAAGTGAGCAAAATCCTCTTATATTAAAAAAGGTATAGACTCCAGAGAGAGAGAGATATCATATTACCCCGGTACAAATTATTAGTAAGACCTCATCTGGAATATGCAGTTCAGTTTTGGGCACCAATTCACAAAAAGAACATTGGGGAACTTGAGAAAGT